AGTTCCAATTTGAACGACGTGATTAAAATTAAAATCGAGAATAAAATAAAATGTTCAACGATGTATGTATGTATATATATATTTTTTTTTTTCGGAAACATTAATTTTTTTTCGGAAATAGTATTGAAATTTATTTAGCATATATCAATTTATATTCACTCTCAAAATATGTTTAAAAAATAATTTAATAATACATTATTATTATACATAATAAATTTAAATATAAGAATTTATATCGTAAATTAATTTTTTATTCATATTCATATTTTCGCGTAGGTTCTCGTAAATATATTTTGTTTAAAATGCAACGAAAAGAAGTTTTACTATTTTCTTTCTCTTTTTCACAGATATCTTTTCAAATTCAGCAGATTAGATTCGACTAATTTTCACGTGAAACTTTACTTCGGAGCTTCGTCCCACCCATTTAAATGTTCAATCTCGTACACTATGTAAGAGAAGAGAGCACGGAAGAGAGAAAATGCGAAGCTCGCACTGTCGGTTTGTTATCGTCGCGACGTGAAGTACACTTCTATTTCTCTAGGAATAAAGATAAAAGCGAGACACGAACGAACGATATCCGTGATCGAAGCTTTCAACCGAAACGAAGTGCAAGACAGGTTTGCGCTTTCGTCCCTCAGACCTCCTCGCAAGGATGTACAATGCATGAGAGGATCGTTGAAGTTCCGTCTTTCCACGCGCTTCTCGTCGTCTGCCTTCCTCGATGGTTATTTTTACATTTCTTCTCTTTTCCGCTTTCTACTATCAGCGTATGCGATCAGAAGAATTGAAATTATAAAATTATAAAAAATTTTTAAATATCGTTAACTAGATTAATAAATATCTTGAAATACCAGTAGTTTGAAATTAGTTTCTTGCTTATAATTATTTTAGTAGTAAAATTATATAAATCCACATATCATTATAAAGGATGTAATTTCCTGTCATTACTGTGAAATTATCGTTAAACCATGCCAGATCGCCTTTATCAATTACGGCACTTTTGTAAAACAACGCTTAACTATCTTTTCTCTCGCACTTTTTCGCATTAAGCGCGTAATACCGGTTATTTTCTATACTGGACTTTAATTGTCATCCTCCGTGCTCCTTCGGTGGATAATTCATAACTGGCACGAACAGTAATTTATTGCCGGAAACTCGTTAAGATCGCTACTTCAGAACCAGTTCTTCAAAGCGGTTCGATAATGCATCTCACACACCCTCCAACTAATCGATATCTCCTTCCTTGTACAGATTTCGCGGATACTTCGTTATTGTAACAATTATATATAATAATAAATACGAGTGTACAAAAAAAAACATCATACAATTATCATAGGAGAGATTAAAACCACTATGATAAATCGCCGTGATTGTGGATACAAGATAAACGTAAAGTTATAGATAAAAAATCTTGTGCAATTTTATTCAAAAACGTAAAGAATTCAAGTAATAATATAAAATATTTCAGTTTATTTGTATGTGAGATAAAATGTTCACGGCAGCGCACATTAAACGGAGAATTTTATATCTTTAAAATTAAATTTTATTTCGTAAAGTTCACACATTGCTCTGACCTTAATATTAAATTCTTTTTCTATATAATGTAATTTAAGCAACAAGCATATTAAAATTAATGATAAAATTTATCTTGAATCATTTTTATTACTAACACAGTTTCGAAACGTGCGATGATGCAATTTTCGTGGTTCATTGATAAGACGATTTAATAACTTGTAAAATTCTTTCTTAAGTAATGGCGATCGTAATGAGAACAAGAAATACATCTTTGTCTTTCTAACGATGGAAAAGAAGGACGGAAGAAGAAATAAGTCAGTCGAGACGAGAGGGTGGACGGGGTAGATTGGTACGTGTCTAGCTTTGAGAGTACACACTGACGACGAGGGGTTGTCGTCCCTCTGACTGGTTGGCTGGCACGGAAACGACCTTGGAATCAGCTGTGCGATACGAGGATGAAATTTCCTACCGAGACGCGTCGACGTCTTAGCGTGTAGGAGGACCCGAAGAATAACATGATGGGAGAGAGAGAGAAAGAGAGAGAGAGAAGGGAGGGGGAGAGAAAGAGCTTATATCTCGACGAGGTCGGGGATGGCACGACAATGAGGTCACTGAGATCCGATGGGGATGGATTCCTCTTGGCATTCTTTGCGTAAGTTACGATGGCACTTCTCCGAGAAAATTTGCTTTTTAAATCGTAAAAACGGTATGCGAGTGTTCTTTTTAACACCTCCTCTTTTTAATTTCGTTTACTCATTCAGAAAGAATATATATTAACATATTATGAATCTCTCCTGCGAGGTTTTCATTTCAATTTTATTTATCACTTCAGTCCGAATGTAACATAAATAGCAGATACTCAATAATTAACGGTAATATCGCATGAGCGTGCTATTAAACTATTAATTTCATCAGAGAGAAACCTGAATGTGAACATCCCGGCCTTTTTCGTGTACCAAACCTCGTAGGGTAATGTCCACGTTTTTGTGATTCTTTTCCGTACTATTATGTGGATTAGACAAGGACGAACAATCAAAGTTGATTATTCGTCTTCGTCTAATCTATGTAATAGTACGGAAAAGAACCACAAAAACGTGGACATTACCCTACGAGGTTTGATACACGAAAAAGACCGGGATGTCCATTCTCAGGTTTCTCTCTGATTTCATTAAACGAGATCCACGAAAATTATTAATAAAGAGAATTCTAAAGAATAACCGATAAAGTTTCTATTTTAAATTTTAATATAATCGATTCTCTTACACATTTATCTCATTATTATTACGCTTTATTGGTGATATTTTTAACAGATACGTAAAGCGCAGTCAATACATTATTTATTCGCTTAAATTCAATTATGGAGGTGTCTGAAAAAAATGCATATAATAACAATAATATATTTTAAAATTCTTTATCAAAAATAATCCCTTTTCACAACAGCTAAATGAATAACACACTCGTTTATTAATTCTATTAATTAAGCAGAACTGTTTTTTGTTTTTGACATTTCCATTCAGATTATTTCTCACATATAAATTGCAAAAATGTAAATCTAATTGCCATAACAACTAACGAATCAAACAAAATAATTAATTAATCAAACTGTCCAAATATCTTTCTCGGGAAAATTAATTTTATCACCGATGGCTTTTGTTTTGTCTTCAGCCAACCGATTGCGAGCAATCGCAACGAATTGCGTCCGGAAAACGGGCTGATTGTGGATTGGCGAATTTATTATCGTAGTGTAGCACTGGCCACGATAAAATCCACGATATACGATACTACCTAGTCGCAGTGTAATTCGTTGCCGTAGCTTAACCATTGTATAAACAGGGCGTATTGCATGCATCGAGAGAAGGAGAGAGAAGAGAGAGAAAGAGAAAGACCAGTCGAAAGAGAACTATTGCACCTGTGCACTCGAGGTAACGAATGCACAACCACATAACGAATAGATCTCAACAGGGCGCTGCCCCAGCAATTTTCGCATATTTCGCCCGGAATTTCGCATTAAAGATCAATAGTTAACGAGCTATTTGCTATAATTATTCAGCCACTAACTGTATCGACATCCAGTGCGCCACATCGTTACGCTGGCCGATGCATGTTCTCATATTCCCCGTTCATTCATTCATTTTCGCAATGAATTTCCTTATATTACAGTATATCAATTAGAGAGAGCTGATAAACACTCGCAACCCGCAGAGAACAATAATATAGTTTTCTCGGCGGGAACGTTATTTACCACAGTATGCGTAGAAATTAATAAACGAATTTCTTCATTTCAACTGCAAACAGCATAATAATTTCAATGAACAAATCACAAAGCACAACAGGCATTACGTGTACATTTTGCGCGCGCGCGCGTAGCTGAATTTAGACAGATAACATACCACGATAGCGTTTCGTGCATTAAAAAAATTGTAATAAATACTTGTAAATTTTAATAAATACTTGTTCGAATAATACTAACTAAATTAATTTACTTACTTAGTCAATAAATATTTATTCCATAAAAAATTATATTTAAATTAATGATTCTTGTACCAAATAAATATATGTTATAAATATTTAGTTGGTATTATTCAAACAAATATTTATTGAAATTTAGTAAATTTTTTTTCAGTGTATATACACGTCAAAAATATCAATTGTATAACAAAGAACAAAGGGATGGAAATATTAATCGAAGAAAGGCGTTGAAAAGTGTGAGATCGCGCGAGCTAATCGAGATCCCGTAGATGCTATGAAAGTTCGACGAGAGACGGCGGCTCGTGCAGGAAAAGGGATAACTGAAGGCAATGATCGAACGTGGCGTGACCCGGCAAATTACTGTCACTCGAGGTAATTTCAGCGTAATCGCCTCTTCCATTCCATTTACCGCGTCTAAAGCGAAATTTACCTTTCGAGCGTATCCGAGGCGAGAGAGCGGCCGTCGAAAATACATCGCGCGCGCGCAATGACGAAATAATTTGCCAGAAGACACCTCGTGATTCTATCCATCTACCTACACATGTAGCAATAATCTGTATGCTGACTCTTCCTATGTATCTTTTCTTTCTCTTGAGATTTAGTCCGCGATTACTGCGGCGCGATTATTTTACGAGATAAAAGAATGAATAATTAATTTACTGCTTCTTATGGAAATATATAATAAAAAAAGTACAGTTAAAATATAATCCAAATCTGTTAAAAATTCATGGCATATTTCATAATGAAATAAAGTTGATTCATTAGCCTAGCTGTATTGGTAAAATTAACAGTAACCGTCAATGATTCAGGCAAAAATGTTACATCAAAATATTTATGCGAGTGATAGAAAAACCTAAGCACCTTATATAATCAACAAAATAAAAATAAACAGAACAATAAATAACTCGTAAAGATGAACTAGTTAAAAATTATTTATCAATTATTCTCAGTTTTCTTCAAAACTTGTTCTTAGGTCTGTACATCACTCGAAAATATAATATATACATAGCACTTACGTTGGATACATTGTAGCTGCTATATTGCTCTTTGGGACTGCCTCCGCCGTTCTGCTCGCACTGCTTGTTCTTGAAGGCTCGGTAATTCTCTCGTAGCTGTTTGCCGTACTGGAACACAAAGCGGAGCGGACATCGTTAACGCGCGAGCGTTGCAGTTCGCAAGATGCGCGCGACGAGTAAACACGCCGCGCACCTAACCGATTCTACGCTCCGGGCACATCGTAACATCCGAGGCCGATAAAACCGACGGGTGTAAAAAAAATTGCACCTGCGATTTGCATAATTTTACACGCGTCACTTTGTCGCATAGCGCCGGTCGACCAGCCGGTCGACTAGCGCGTGTTGCCCAGCTGTGCGAGGCGAACCGTCGATCGATATACCTCGCCCGTCGAGGTATCGCGCTCGCCTAGATAAATTCAACGTTGCTACGCGGACAGAATACGAAAGTACCATCTGATACTTTTCTCGATTTCTCCGACAATTAAATTCCTTCTCCTCCCGTCTTTTTGGGGTGCGCGAAGCTGTACAAACGTAATTACCGTAATATTTCGAGAAGAATTTGGGAAGGAAAAGAAAAAAGTAACAAACCGATATAAAAAAAAACTCAATTTTGATAATTAAAAATCAATCTTACCGTATGCTTTCACGTCGAAATTATTATAATACATATACAAATTTATTTTACACACCATTGCGACTTATAAACGTAACGTAACTCGTAATAGTGTTTCGAATAATGTTGAAATATAAATAAATGTCACGCTTCGAATCTATTTTTCGAACAACAAGATTAGTGATACTCAATTTTCGACTCGAACTGTAATCCTATTTCTTGCAAGCAGCTTGCGAATGCAGGAGGAATATTCGATCGAAACAACCGATTCTTTTCGTCGGGAAATGTCTACGCTTCGCAAGCGCGCGTGCAACGATAAGGTTCCGTGATTGAGTCAAAGGTAATCCGTGTGAGCTCCTCTAAGCTCCTTTTTATCGCCCACGTGCTAGGAAACAGTCATTTAAAACAAAGCTGATTTATGAATGAAGTTTACTTCCTTGCTTCACTCAGAGATTTCATAAGTTACCCATTCAAGAAAAATTACTACTAATTCTAAATGTAAATATATATTACAACAAAAAATAGACAAAATATAAAACATCATTTTTTAATTAATTCCAAACAGATATTTTGTTTAGTTTAACTTTAATTTAACATTAATAGATTTTGTATTATATAATTTCAAAATTTAAATATTTAAAATATCGAAGAATAAAGATCAAATTTCCGTTCTAAATGAAAAGTTCATTAAAATAAAGAATTTAATCCTGGAAGAGTAAAGAATTTCGGAAAAAAAGGAAAAAAACGTGCAGGTATACGTACTTTGTGCACGAGCAAGTATATGTCAACCGCGCGGCGAGACGAACGTGGACGCGAAAAACGAGACGAGACAAGACAGGAGGAACAGACGGTGCCACGTGAAATAATGACGGTGAACGTGTGCATAACCGTAGGACCCAGCAGTGGTATAACCATCGTATCGACCCACAAGACAGTCGGGCGCATCCATGCTCGACTGACTGCTCACGCACACGCGCGCTCACCCATACACGCAAGCGTAAATTGCTCGTGACGTGCACGGCACCCACACGCATACACGCACAGGAGTACTAATATACCAATGCGGGCTGTAGCTTGCACCGTGGTACGAAAATTATCCCGGCGAGCTTTGTGACTGGCGAGAACTCGCTTAGCAACAGCAAAAATATAAACTCGTACTTTCAAACTTTTATATTAATACATAAGTTAAATAAAAGTTCTGGCATAATTCTTGAGTTGTGCATCCCTTGTATTTCATAAATAATTTTGTTAACTCTCATTTAATTTCCTTAACAAATTATTCCTCCGCTGGCAACATACAATTTTAACTCTTCCGTCAGCAATAAAGGTTTTTGAGAAAAGAAGCAAATTTTTGTTATTGTTCTGAATTATATAAAAATTTGAAAAAATTCTGGTATACTTTTCAAAGTTTTAACGAGTTATTATCATCACAGAGGTCGGATTGTATTTTATGTATTTTTTACAGATCTAGATTTATCTACTAGAAGTCATAAACAAAATATCGATAATGCCTTTTCAATATTGCCGGCGGAGAAGTCAGAGAAGAAAATAATTGAGTCAATACTTTCGTTTGATGATATTGTAAAATTTCAATAAAATAAAGGTTCTACACATTTCCCAATATATGTCAGTAAAAATATCCTGCTGATTAAAAATACATCTAAATACAATATCATTCGTGTTATCGATTGTCTCGTCGCGCACTTCTTGCTCGACGCTGAAAGTGAGAGAATTTAAACGAAGACCGGGATTCGCTTTCGCATTTCGGAAGTCAGGAGCGTGATCTACGTAGATGCGAAGATGAAGGATGGCGGCGACTAATTGAAGGCGGCCCTGGAGTATTGCCGACGCGCGCGCGTTTGGAGAGATAATTATGTAATTCAATTATTCGCAAACGCAGACGAGAAACGCGCCGACGAGGAAAGCGGCAAGGCATGAATGTATGCTAACGTTAATCAGCGACAGAGTAACGGAGAACGATAACGAAGCACACGAGCTCTAAGTAAACGAAAGATAATGCCGCGTCGAATCCCTCGATATCACAAAATCACGTTCCCGATAATACGGTGTTATTGATTAAAAGCTGTTGAAAAGTTGCTCCACTAGTTGGTCGCGACAAATTTCCCTTGTAATTAAATGACTGTGCAAGTCAGCGCGACTCATTCTTGGAATCATTCTTGGAATCATTCTTGGAATCATTCTTGGAATCATTCTTGGAATCATTCTTGCTGTATAACTAATTATAATTCTCGGACCGCGCAAGAAACTCCATATGGACAGAGATACGTGTAATCGAGTAGAAAGCGGCCCGGTATCATATGCGACTTAACTTTATCCGTGGCTTTTATTGCTATGATCTGATCTATTCACTTTCTCATTATCATTATCATTTCTCGAGACGGGCAACAACCGTGACTTAATGTCAAATAACAATATTTTATTTATGATTGGCAATCATATAAAATACCATAAATATTTTTTATAATCGCTATGCTTATCGCTCAAGGAAGCTGGTCCTAAATTAATCCAACTGGTTACGCGCGAGGGCCATTCTAATCCATTATTTTGATATCTACGTATACTAATAAATCTATCGAAATCTTTTCTGTTTTAATTACTTTCGCCATGTTGGACTTAACTACAGATAACATTAATTCTATAAACGTCTTCAAACTTTCACACAAATAAAAATACTGAAGTTACTGCAACATCTTTTATCTTGGACTCTATCCCTCGCAAATTAACAAAGACTAATCCGAGCTCTATACTTATTGTTAGACTTCGCAGATTTCTAGTGAAGTGAATCAAAGTCTGCGAAGATTGAAATACAACGAGGAAACGGGATGAGGGAGAAGAATGACGTAGAAACAAAGGGAGCACGAAAGGGTACGGGAGTGTCAATGTCTTCTCGATCAAAGCGAGTCCTGCAGATTTCTCCAAGCCTACCCGTTCATTTGTTCTCTTCTTCCCCCCCCCCTCTCTCTCTCTCTCCTTCCACCTTTCCAACTCTTCTCGTTCGCCGCATCTCATCAGACTCCTAGCTTTTTCTCGGATGAAAGAGTTACAAAGGCCTCACTGAGACACGCGTAAGTACTACCTTAGTGCCGTTACCGACCAAGACGACGTCTCGTCCTTTTCCCTTCGGATAGAAGGTGGAGCCGAGAAACAGAGAGCAAACGAGAGAGAGAAAGAGAAAGAGAAATGACGGTGAACGACGGAGCTAAGCGAGAGACGCCAAGAGCCGGAGAAAAGAGAAGAGCACATAGTAAATCCAGAGCGGCTAGGTAGGTAGATAGGCTGACAAGAGACGCAGACAGGCATGGACGACCAACGAGGCCGATAAACACTAGGCAAGTCTGGCCTGCCTGCCCGCCGGCGGCCACGGTAGTACAGACGTATGGCTCAGGGGACTCTCGAGGATGCACCGACACAGGTTAGGTTACGATTCTCTGGCGCAAGGTCTCCAAATTACATCTCGTGGCAGATGAGTTTGCTATCCGACCCAGCACGAACGTTATTCACAATGAACATAAGTCATGATGATAATGGACAGCAAAAGAAACGCTTGTGAGAGACACAGCAATTGTGTAAATTAAACAAAATCGTCGAGATCAAGAGTGAGAATTAAATTAATTAAATCTAGAAATTAAATTCAATGAAAATTATTAGGAAATTTTGGCGTTAAACGTAAATATATAAAACGCCATTTAGAATTCTGTTTCTCCCCGTAAATACATCGTTCAAATTATTCCGGTTTAATTTCAAAGGATATTCACAGCTCCCGAAAGAAAGGTTGTTTGTACATTAATAAATATTATTTTTTTAATTCTTAATTTGCTTCGCAAGCATGATTATTCTATGAACGATAGAACAATGATAATATGCTATGCCCGAGCTTTACTTCCTGGAGACCAGCCGGACTGGAGAGGCGGTCTGAGCAGCCACTTCAGCCTGAGGAAGAATAGGCCTGTAAAGAGTAGCGTAATAAGGAGTAGGCGGCCGTATTCTAAAGTCTCTCTCTTTCTCTCTCTTTTCCTTCGGCGAAACTGCCAATCGCGCGTTGCTGGCGCACACCGTTACTATCCACGAGTTATTCTTCTTGGCGAACACTTCAACTAGAGTGAAAGAAAGAGAGAAAAAGAAAAAGAGAAGACAAAGACTGTCTACGCTCGAATATATTATAAATTGATATTATTATCAACGATGATAGGAAAAAAGTCTTGGTGTCTCAATTTTTGTAAAAAAAAAAGGAGGGGGGAAGCAAGAAAAATGTACCGTGTCAGTGCCACGACTACTCTAAAGAGAGAAAAAAATTTAGCCATACGAAACGTGCTGAAGCTGCGTGATATAGTGTGTACGTATGTCGACAAAAGTGAAGTGTTCTTCTTTCTCCGTTAAACACGAACCGCGCGCGAGTCACGCAACTTCTTTGAACTTCACGAAGAAGTTTCGACATTCGATGTCGACGCGAACGCAGGCGCGGTAGAAATGGGGAGGAACGGAAAGAAAATAAGGCTCATTATACCCAGCTCCATCACGGACCTAATGATACTCACGGCCCGTCCGCAGAGGGATGATCACATTGTAAAGGAAGAGTCGAATAAGAAGACGCGGAATCGGCTGGGAAACGAAATATTGCAGCGATACTTTGTAAGCGTTATTATCCTCACCGCAAATTTAAGTACCTATTTCTCCGGTTGATATTAGCTTTCCTCTTACATTGTAGCAGTTATTTACTAAAGCTGGCATGGTCATTTATATACCCTCCGTATTATTAATTCTTGATTATACACTTTCCACGCGAATCTGCCGACATTTGTTGTAACCCTAATCGACATTCCCAAGAGTACACTTGACGTAATAAACTAACATTTCCGTTTGGACGAGCAACAATTTCGTTCAAATAGCTCATCCAGTTTGGGGTTAATGGGCTTCCACCCCAAACTACTCACGAGACACTCGAATCGCTGTACTAAGATGTATTTTCTTCGAATAGAAAACAACAATGGAGCAAAGAAAAGAAATCACATTCTTACCTTAGCGAGTCTCATGGCTGTGAGCCAGCAGGTGCGCGATTTTTCGTTCTCGAAAATAATGACCTTGATCCCGGGCTCCCCAGCCTCCGTATCTTCGGCTTCGGCGTTGCTGTTCGGCCTCAGGCAGGCGCCCCACTCGAAGGGTGCGCCGAAAACCCGCTTGGCGTTCGGTATCCTGTAGACGTTGTAATCCGACAAGTGCGCGAGTGTGATTAGTTGTTCGTTGTCCTGTAACAAAAATAATGACACACTTATAAAAATTTTGCTCGAAGGTATTCAGCCTAAAATTGAACGCAAAAGGCAACTGAACCGTTCAAAATAGAAAAGTTTATTTCGAGAAATTACTAGCTTCCTTCCCGTATTGCAACATTTACGTTACAAACGCGAGTTGTATAACTATTGGTAATTTAACTTCCCTTAATAATACGGTTGTGGTCCACGGTTAATGAAGATGTAACATAATGGTTGTTTGTTGTTCTCAGTTATTGTATATTGAATGGATAATACGAACAAATACTAATTGCCAGCAACGTTTTCAATTATTATAAAACCATTGGTGTAATAATTAATTAATCAGTATGGCCACAATAACTGTAATGTCTTCACGATTGTAGATGAACCGAGCGATCTTCCCGTGGGAGCAACGCGAACAAAGTAGTATAAGCGTATCTACGAGTTGCCCGCAAGCAAAAACCGTCGCGAGATACCTTTCCCAGTAGACTCTCTCGTTCCGTTGAGACTTCCTAAGAGTCTTCATCGGATTCAGCAGAAAACTTTCTTTCGCGACGTCGCCGGGAATCGCGGGGGCAATTTATTATAACGGCGGGACAATTTTTACGGCGTGCCGGCACATCGCACAGGAAGCACCGCAGCGACGACAGGCTCTTATCGCGGAGTCACCATTATTGCCTGCAGTGGAGACCAGGAAAGTCGCGTTTGTCGAGTGATTTCCGGTAGTAAATATTCATGGATGTGGGTGCGTTCGACATTCTTTAAACGGAATGCGTCAAGGTTGTATCTGATCGCATATCCGGAAAGCATGCTTTCCCTCTCACGATGTTTTACAAATAAAAAATTATGCTCTCATCTTAATTTCTTAAAATATATTTCGATTATATTATACACATAAATATCAAATAAAATTATTAGCAGGAATAGAAATAGCGAAGTATACTACAAGGAAAGAACGATTTTGTTGAGTATCTAAAAATTTAGCTATGGATACAGATCTGAAGCTAATTTTATTATATAATTTATTTTGATAGTTCAATAAAAATATTTTCTAATAAAGCAAAAATAAACAAGGGACCTTATAAAATATAAGAGGATCTTTTAAAAAATATTTTCGGATCCGCATCTAGCAAAATTTTTAAATATTTCAATAAAATTGTCGTTTCTGTGTATCTAAACATGTACAGTCCTTCTTTAACATTTTTATATTTTTATATTTATGTTTTTTTTTATAATATTATACTTCCTTGCTTCCAATAATGCGACACGCACTACTTCGAGCTGCATCGCAGACCTCAGTAATTAAATAAAATTACCAACGTCAACAGAGGAACAGCGGATTAGCGTGGATAACGAGATGTGTGCGCGACGCCTCGATCTAACAATTTCACGCGCAGTCGGTGTCACAGCGCTTTTATATTTAACTCGGTGTGTATTATCGCAGGAGGTACCATCCACGTTATTCTACTCTCTGACCTTTATCCGCTTATCGGCACCTGTATGATAAGCGGCCAACCGTGAACCATCGACCGGTCGATTTTCCAAAATCACCTTGTATAATCGCGCTACGTTTCCTGTCGTGTTGTGAACCTTTTATTAATAGCAAGTCCTATGCATATTGTGCACGTATTTCCGCGAATTACCTGTAAAATATTCTTTCAATACTTTAATTTTACACTTTAAACAAAGAGTGAAAACAATTATCTGATCGTTGCGTAAATATATGCGATCATATCTATTAATTAAAAATCAAAATCTCGCCTTATTCATACATATCAATATACTCTCTAAATCTGGATCAGTGGATAGTCATTACCCAGTGGCATACTTGACACTGTATAATCAGTGAAGTTCAACTAATAAAGGAAAAATGTTTGAGCATTATATAATTAAAATATTGATATTTGCACGTTAATTTCAATCTTCCATATTTATTGAATTTATACACTAAAACAAAGTTAGTTAAATTACATAATAAAGATTAGCTAGGTTAGAGATCTCACATTTCATTCACTGATTACCAGTGGCATACTTGGCACTAATTAGCGATTATCCACTGATTCCGATTTAGAGAGTAGAATAGAATAATTAGTCAACTGTTATTATCTCATCTCTCAAAAAAATCATTATGCGGCACATCTCTCGAGAGAGGCATTCCTCTCGTTTGTTCGTGCCGCGTTGAGAGGAAGGGTGCGGTTGGTCAGGGACTCGCAGGTCTCGAGAAAATCCTGTTGGCCGTGGTCGCCGCCGTGCTTCGTGCCACGATGCTGCCGCTGCTGCTGCTGCGCAAGCATTCGTCACGCGTGCACAAACAGATGGATAAGACAAGGGGGAGAGGAGAAGGAGGAGCATGTGTAAGAGACGCAGTGCGAGATAACGGCGGGACCGTTGCAATACGGCTCAGCAAATATTTGACGATTAGCTCGGTTGCACTCTGTACCGCGGGAGAGTGGGGCTGTTAACGGTTACGTAACTATTATCCAGCTAACCATGGAATTATGAGCGAAAGCGAATAGGAGAAGGATGAAAAGGTAGAAAGATATTAGTTAAACAGTGCCCGACTACAGAATAGTCCACATTACTTAAATGAAAATAAACAAACATGTGTAACACATCAAGCGTAAAGAATATGTGGAAATATACAATAGAATAGTAGACAGGGGAAAAAGAGAAAGAGAGCGGAAGAATACGGGAAAATCCGGTGATATCTTCCGTATTTTTACGGGTAAATTGCCCACGTAAGATTTGCATGTCTACCCGCAAATATGGCTTCACACCGCTCCTTTTGATGAACGCGCGCTCGTAATTCTGACACGTGTAAACCGTTGTCATGTGCATATCAGACGCGCCAGTCACGTTCCGTGATCGATCGTGCGCAGTAATCTTTTGGGGATTGTGTCTCTACACGCAGGAGATAAAAATACACGTCAAAACACGAGCAAATTAATAGCAATGTCAGACGGAGGCAGACTGGCGATTAAGGTGAGAAAGGTAAGAGTCTGGAGTCCATTTTAGGTACCGTTTCGGTCACGCTATTCTAAAACGCGTTAAAGAAAAGATATAGTTAAGATAATTTAAAATTAATAATATTTCTTACCGTGTGTAACTTGAGAACTAATTCTTTTTCTCAATCATTATAATTATTATTTAAAACGGATAGTATAACAATACTATACTTATGGCGTAAATTACTTACTTTTTTGAGCATTTACTTCAAGACTGTTGTAATTTCGAATACAGCCATTCGCAATGGAGATGTATTCGATTTCCATTGCAAAATCATGCTGAGACATTGGCAAGCACTTTATGATCTGCATATCTCAAGTCGATGTCAGCATATATTGCGCACGTTGATCTCTCGAGTAGCTGAATGACCGCTACTCGAACGTAAAAAGAAAGTAGGATAAAATCGAAGAAACTCCTTCATCGTTCATCCTGTTATTTTAGCGGTTATTTAATCGACGATAATTGTGTATGAATTTTATATTTTTCACAATTATACCCGCTCATTATAATTGTTATTGTATTCTTTATCATATTAATTATCACGGCGATTAAAGCAATAGTAATTGCGTCAGCTAAATAAAATGATTAAATTATATATTTAAATAGCTATCAGTTTCTTTTAATTAAATTTATCAAAAGTATAAAAAATATCATATAATTTTGTAATTTATCAAAATACTTCTTAAAAAATCCGACGACGGCTACGAAAAACTGCTGATACAGCAGAAAACGAAGAATTGGGAAGAAGGTAATGATACAAATCGAAAAGAGAATTGATTCGAAATGGGAGAGAAAAGGAAAGGAAGATCCAAGATGAAATCCGAGGATTCGAGATGAGAGACTTCGGATTTTTTTTTTATTTTAGACGATACCTCTTGTTGCGAAATCAACGATTTACCGTGGCGAAAAAGTCCCGGTAACACATCAACAGTATAACAACGAACAGTATAATGATAAGTATACGAATAAGATATTACAGAGATGAGAGATTCGCGATAACCTCGCGGGGCTTGTTTCTGTTCGTCATTTTTTATGCGCGGGAGCCAGGAGAGTTATTGGCGTTTCCGTCTAGGGATACATGACTTCGGAAACAAAACCGGTTTATAAATAATTCCAGAAGCACGCTCTCGCGCGCGATTAAAGAGGAAAAAAAGAAGGAAGGTACACACGACGGCAGCGCCTGAAGACGCCAATGGTCCGTGCAATCGTTGCCAATAAATTTGGTCCTGCGCTCTCATCCTTTCCACGTCGTCGTAATCCTTCCCATCTTCGTTCAAAGAGATTTCACGATGAATCGCCGATTTCGAGTCATCATTCAATAATGACAAATTTTGTTGCTTAAATAATTTTCACAAATCTTTTTATAATTTTGATTAATAAGAGCGTATATCTTTCATAGTCGCATCGAGGACGAACTCGAGTCGACAAGCTCGACCGTAGCTCGAACCGCATCAGCGGTCGTTGGCCCGAAATGACATCGTTAAGTTGCCGTTCGCGTGGCAGTGAAAGGATTGACTCCAGGGCGGCGTTAGACCGGCGTTATAGAACGGCGGAGAGGGAGAGAAAGAGAGAAGAGGACAACGTACGATAGGTCAGGTTTTTCTTCCTCCGGAGGCGGCGGAGAGATCCGCCGTGCTGCAAGCCAATGAGGAAAGACAAGCGAGGAGAGACCGAGAGGATGCCGAAGGTAGGGATGCAACAAGAGGCCTGCGTGCAATGGGCGCATTGAAAGTCCGTGGAAAGGCTTTCTCCTCATATCTCATTGATTTATTTGTTATTCATTCCTCAGATTTAAAACGGATTTAACAAGTTTGCGAAAATTCGAAAACAAAAATTGCAAATTCGGAAAATAGCTCGCTGTCTGAGAAATGCGAGTATGGATCGAATGAGCCAATACAAAACGCAACGCGAATAAACTGTGTCTCGTTTCACCTGCACTTTAAATAAATATTTGCTAAAACCACACACGCGATTTACAAATTGTAAATCGT